GCTTTGTTCACCTGCTGTCTTGAAGTAGCAAAAGTCGAACTGTACGACTGGTAGTTTGCTGCTTTGTCTTGGGTGATTGTCGGCCCTTCCTTTGTTGGCGACACATGTTGGACACCAACTACGGTAAGGAAGGTGCGTCAGTTCGTGCTCTGCTCTTTCTTGTGCTGTTGGCTGCGTTGGCTGAGGCAATCCTTTTGCTGTGTTTGCTTGTTGTGGCTCTTCTTCATCCATGTCATACACCTCTTCCTTGTAGAGCGTGCTTTCTTCAAAGTTAGTTGATCCTGTCCACGGAGTGTTGAGAGAGGCGTTTGTCTTTGTTGTCCAATCATCATCAATCCTGTAGCCTCTTGCTCCAGATGTTGGCTTCACCATTGTTGTTCGCTCTGGGATGAGCTTGGTGACATCTGGTCCATCCTGGGTCTGTTGTGGTATGTAGAGGTCTGTTCTTGGATGGACGTGGACTCTTTTCCACAAATGTCCTTCGCGTATCCAGTAGTCTGATGTTGTCGGTGTGTCTTTCGGTGTGGGTACTGCTGTGGCTGAGTAGGGCTGCTGTACGCTGCTTGGTGCTTGTCCTTGCTGTCTTTCTGGCTGCTTGCCAGTATGTCTTCTTGCTGGCTGTTGTGTCACTGCCTGTGGTGTCTGCTGACTTGCTTCCGGTTGGTGCTTGGTCGTCGTTGCTGGTGTTGTGATCGCTGGACGTGGTGGCTTTGCGTTTGCCTTCACCTTGAACCATGTTTCTCCTTTCCACGCTGTGTCCAGCATCTTTTTCCGTTGAGAGTGGTCGAGATTGTGTAGTGCTTCTTCGAAGTCTTCTGTTGTTCCGGTGTCCTTGTGGGCAATTGTTCGTCTGTAGTCTTCGAGTTTGTTCGTGGGGACTGGGCAAGTCTGGTCTGGCATGTAGGTTGCTCTCCTTTTGGTTTTATGTACTCTTACCAAGTAGCCTTGACTGTTGTAAGTCCAAATGTCGTGTTGGTGTGTCACCCATTGTGCTCCTGCTGGTGTCAGGGTGATTGGTGAGATTGTTGCCTTGATTCCTTCTTGGGCCTCGTGCACGTCAAGTTTATAGTTGTCTGGAACACCTGTGGTCTTCACTGGTAGGAAGTATGTTCCTTCTCTGATGTTGAGTTTTGCTCCAAAACCGTTTGGGTGTGACACTGTTGGTTGTTCACTGAGTTGGACTGTGAATCCTTGTTCTGCCAGTCTTGTTACTGACAGGATGGGTTGTGTGACTGAACACACGTAGAATGGGATGACAATAGGTTGATTGCTTGTGTTGGTCATGTAGACCCATTTGTACCCGGTGACGTCAATCTTGTCCTCTGTTGCTGTTCGGAGATTTGGTGTCTCCTGGGGATGCAGCGGGTATGTTGGTGTGGACGCTGCAAACCAAGGTGGGCAAACGTGTGTTGCCGCTCCACTGTCAATCATCAACTCGTTGTTGAGACTGACGCCGGGTTGTGTGTGTGAGGTGGCGGGTTTGCCTGTAGTTGATATGCCTTGTTGGTGATTGCTGCTAGGGGCATTGATGGCTCCTATGTGGATTGTTGTGGTTGGGTCTGCCTGTTGCGGCGGTGGAAGTGCCAGCTGCTGCTGTTGCCGTTGAACAGCCTGCACTTGTGTTTGATCGTCTGTCCACCAATTGCTGTCAAAGGTGGACTGATGCCCATACCAATAGGTAGTGGCATCTTGATTCCATTCGTTGTTGTCAACCTCTTGTAGGTTGTAGACTGCCACTCTGCAGTCCTTTGCGATGTGGCCTGGCTGGCCACACTTGTAGCACCCTTGTGTTGGTGCTTTTCCTTTGCCTTTGCCGTTGCCCGTTGCTTTTCCTTTTCCTTTTCCTGTGTTGTATCCTTTGCCGGCGAATGGGTTGTATGGCACTGGCGCGTAACCTATGTGCCCTTTTCCTTTGTATTGTTGCCCGTAGCCTTTTCCTTTTCCTTTGTGACTAGTCTTTCCTTTGTTTCCTTTCTTTCCTTTGCTTTTGCCTTTTCCTTTCCACTTTCCTTTGCCTTTGTTGATGGCACCAATGTCCATTGGGGCTGCACCTCCTCCAAAGTTTGTTGCTACACTGCTTGAAGCCGTTTGTTGTAGTCTGTTGAAAGCTGTGGTTGCTCTGTAGTACTCCATGATGACAAGTCTGACATCATTGTATGTTGGTGCTGTACTGGCGTTGAGTTGCAGGTGTTGTTGTAGTGGGCCTTTGGTCTCGTTGAGCAGGATGGCAATTTTGATTTGGTCTGGTAGTTGTGTGTTGTTGTCCCTTTCATACCGGTTGACATCAAACTCCCAACTGGAGAATGATTCCTCGAAGTTGTTGTGGTCGAAGGTTGGCTTCATGATTTTGGTTAAGTAACCGATGCTTCTTGTTCCTATGGGCAAGGCAAACCTGATGTGCAATTGTCTCAGGATTTCTAGTCCTATTTCGTGCTGATGTTGTCGACAAACTGTTGCTGCTGATCCTGTAGTAATGTTGATCAGCACATACTTCAGGTTGTTATCCAGTTGTATCCATGTTTCTGCTTCATCAACTGTTGGGGCTGCAGCTCTGAGGTGTTGTTCAGTGACTTGTTGTGGTGCTTGTTCAGCCAATCTGAACATGCGTGGGTAGAATGGATCATGTAGACCCATGTAGGCTGTGAACTTGTAGGACCATTCTTCAAAGGTGTTGTAGTTGCCGTCGAATGTTGGTGGTCTGAGCTTGAGCTTATGTGTCTGTGTGATGCCATCTGTTGGGTCAGCTGCTGCTGCAGCTTGTGGAGACGCTGCCATTGCTTCTGTTTGTCGGGGCTTGGTGTGTACCTGGTCTGTGGGTGTTGTTCAGTGCCAGCTCGCTCGTCGAGAGTCTCCTGTTGAGCTCTCTCTCAGTGTTGTAGGTGTGTGTTGCTGCTGTCGCTTGGAGATGCCCTGGTGAGGCAGAGCTCCGCTACCATGTAAAAATGGCAGCTTCTGTTGAAAGTGTTGCTGAGGCCGCGCACTGTCGAAGCAATCTTTTGTTGAACTGTGCTGTTGTCTCTGGACCTGTTGTCCAGCCCAAGGGCCCTGAGTTGAGCCCAGTGCCAACGTTGGTATGTTGGCTATCCACAATGTTGCATATTAACATGTATGTATGTATGTATGTATGTATGTATGTATGTACGTATGTACGTATGTACGTATGTACGTATGTACGTATGTACGTATGTATGCATGCATGCATGTATGTATGTATGTACGTATGTACGCATGTACGTATGTACGTATGTACACATGTACGTATGTACGCATGTACGTATGTACGTATGTACGCATGTACGTATGTACGTATGTATGTATGTAGGTAGGTAGGTACGTACGTACGTATGTATGTATGTAGGTAGGTAGGTACGTACGTACGTACGTATGTATGTAGGTAGGTAGGTATGTATGTACGTATGTATGCATCCATGCATGCATGCATGCATGTATGTATGTATGATTATGTATGTACGTGTGTACGTAGGTACGTAGGTGCGTAGGTATGTAGGTATGTAGGTATGTAGGTATGTAGGTAGGTAGGTTGGTAGGTAGGTAGGTAGATAGGTAGGTAGATAGGTAGGTAGGTAGATAGGTATGTATGCATGTATGTATGTATGCATGTATATATGGTCCCGTGTCCCGTGTTCCCGAGAGCGTGAGCTTGGGGGACCATACCATGGGTGGGGGGGGGGGCCAGGGATCCGGGATCCGGACTCATATATAAATATATATATATGTGTGTGTACATATATATATATATATATATACGTATGTATATATATATATATTAATATTACGTATGTATATATATATATATGTTTTTAATAAAAATGCATTGACATATGCGTTTGTATATGTATATACATATAAATAAATAGGTATGTGTATCTATATGTGTGCATATATATATATGCAGTAAATAGGAAGTAGATACATAGCACCTGTATATATGACCGTAGGTGCTTTGAGGGAGTATGTGTGCTACGTAGGTCGTCTAAAAGGTAGCATGTACCTAGTGAATGCGAGGCTGGTAGTCAGAAATGCTGCAAAGACCTAGCAAATACGAGGCTGGACCTCAGAAATGCCGCCAATAGCTTGCAAATAGAAGGTAAGGGGACCCATCCCATGGGGGGTGGGAACACGGGACACGGGACCATATATACATATGCGTCTATATATGTAGGTATGTACAGTTGTACAGTAAAGATGTATCAGTTCTATCGTTCTATCTATCTATCTATCTACCTACCTACCTGCCTATCTATCTAGTTACCTATCTATCTATGTGTTCATCTATCTATCTATCTGTCTGTCTATCTATCTATCTATCTTTCTAATCTATCTAATTTATCTAATCTATCTAATCTATCTAATCTATCTAATCTATCTAATCTATCTAATCTATCTAATCTATCTAATCTATCTAATCTATCTAATCTATCTAATCTATCTAAACTGTCTAATCTCTCTAATCTGTCTACTCTATCTACTCTATCTACTCTATCTACTCTATCTAATCTATCTAATCTATCTAATCTATCTACTCTATCTAATCTATCTAATCTATCTAATCTATCTAATCTATCTAATCTATCTAATCTATCTAATCTATCTAATCTATCTATCTAATCTATCTAATCTATCTAATCTATCTAATCTATCGAATCTATCTAATCTATCCAATCTATCCTATCTATCTATCTATCTATCTAATCTTATCTTATTTTATCTCATCTTATCTTATCTTATCTTATCCTATCTATCTTATCTTATCTTATCTTAACTTATCTTATCTTATCTTATGTATCTACCTATCTACCTATCTACCTATCTACCTATCTACCTATCTACCTATCTACCTATCTATCTACCTATCTATCTATCTATCTATCTATCTATTTACATAGATTAAGGTTATTTTTAGAGTATATATAGACAGCATAAGCAACGACGCAGTGGCCCTACAGGTGGGGTATCCCATCCCCATTGATCCAAGTAGCCCAAGGCCCGCCAGCACAAGGCCACAGGAAGTACATGTGGACATCGATGCCATGACGGCTGAAATCGGTTGAATCTGGGGTTCAATCACTGGGTAATCATGGGGGTATCTAGATACCTAAGCATTTTACATCCAATAAATACTCATTATTTTTTGAAGTAGAATATACTAATGTCACTGGATTCACTGGATATATTATCAATAAATACTCAACTACTCAACTGCAAAAAGCGGAGCCGACTTGGATCAACAGCCACCACGTGACCTAGGTCCCTTCGCTAAACTCCGAGGGGTATGCTCCAGGGTCAAAGGGGTGAAATCATGCTGATGGCTCAAGCGCAGCTGTGTGAGAGCTCAAATGCCGGCGAAAATTCCACAGATGCCGCTACAACCAGGATCCCATCTCATTGCAAAAGTGAACTGGGGTGACACGGGGAGACAATATGCAGCATGCATCCAGCTCACTGATTGTCGTCTATGCCGGATTTAATGAGACATTTCTGAATAATTATTTCATAAATAGTTCAAAATATTTTATGATATTAGTGGGATATTTCATTTCTGGGATTTCAATTTTTCTGGCTTCCCCACTAACATCCCACTATATGGCTTCCCCATCCTCATCCTGTCTCTGGGTCGCCTGAAAGTCCAAGCCCCTCAGGGCCAGGTCGATTCTCCGCAGCCTTGAAACGCGGCCGCTCGGACGAGACTTCGTCCAGTCGTCGAAGGGGTGCTCCCGAGGTCGAATGGGTTCCTCCATGGAAACGCCCCAAACGCCGGGGCCCCCGGCAACTTCTTGTGCGGCCGTTCGGGCGGCGCCGGACGTGGGCCCTGCATCGCAGCCGTCCCCAGGGTAACGGAAAGACTGGTCTCCTGGCGATTGACTGGGGCTGCAGTTGAGCTTTAAAATGTTATAACTATGGGGTAATAATCCAAGTTCAGATATAACATGATATAACCATATATATATATATATAACCACTATAGTCACTATAGGTACCAGTATGGTTCTCTATACATATATATATATGATTCATATGATGTTTTATGATGACATACAATATGACCACTTATAGGTGGAACTGCTTTGCTGGATGACCTCAGCAACCCCAACATGTATGATACGGGTACAGTCAGGCTAGTCCAAGAATGAATGAATCAACTCATGAATCAAGTAACATGATTGAACATGCGCGATCTCAGGATTAACGTCTAAAATCTTTCGTTCAAATCACACAGATGCTACTGGGAACCACTCTTTCGGAATCAGTTGTGGTGGCTTGATTGATGCTGGATTTGCTTTTACAAAGGACGCAGGTTCAGCACCATTGTGGATTTACTGGACCGGGAAATTGTGAGTTTTTTGCAGGATGCTTGTCCGGAACACTTGTATTTCTCGTCCGCCGAACCCTTCACGACGGATTCTTTGCAGGAGATGATGTTCAGGTGGAAAAGGGCATCGAGTCCAAGTGGCAATAATCAACAAGTCAGAATTCGATAGGCACTCTTCAAAGTTCCTGCGTAACAGCCGCCCACCGCCGCCGTGACTTTTCCTCACCCATAACGTTCACAAGTCGAGACACCAAACAAATCTGTCATAACCCCGGCGCACATGGCTTCCGGTTTGCCCTGTACATGCCGGCTACATGCTGAGTGCCAGGGGATGTGCCTGGCTGTCTCAGTTCTCCTCAGCTGCTTCCGTCTTATGATTGAAAATGTTGAAGTCATGAACCCAGGAACACTCCTCTGGACGGCTGGCTGTGAGGACGAAATAGTGTCCCTGGATCAAGTGCCACCTGAGCTACCACTTTCGGATGAAGGGGGGAGGCCAAAATACCTGTCGGACCCCTTGATACCTACAATATATTGACTGTAAATGTGATGACGCTGGTGGGGACTACTACCGACCATGGTGGCAGGGCCCAAGCACGATCTTTGCAATCTCCACCCAGGCACTCTTCAAATTCATCCATCAACTCCAACTTGTGAATGCGTTCCACCTCGATACAACTGCCAGGGCGTAAGGAACAAATACAATCTGTGACTGCAATGATGAGCAGGTGGTTGGATCAACGTCCACCATATCACCATCTAGTTGGTTCCTGAAATGCGTTCAAAAAAAAGAAGGCATCGAGAAATTCCACAGTTATGTTTCCACAAATCACTTGACTAATCCCCACCTCGGATTGGTCCAAATGACTTCGGTAGATCTCGTTCATATCCGCCACTTGGCATCTGGTCCAACCTCTCGCGAGGAATCGCTCCTTCTGGGCCTCCATGGATGGATAGTCATAGACCGAGAGCAAAGGACAGCCACGTTCCGCCAAATTCTTCACCATGACCTTCCCAAAGCGGTCGTGCGGGTTCCTGGCGCAAGATTCCGCAAGATCCATTGTTTTCTCCTATATATATGAGGGATAAATATGTGTAACAGTGGGAAAGCAGGTGTTTCAAATGGAGATGTGGACCGTATTCATAAATCGAAATACATACAATATAATACAATATATAAAAGTCTCATCACATATTTGTTTGTGTGTGTGTGTGCGCGTGCGTGAAAGACAACCATCACCCTCAGAAGGAACTTGGGATCTCAGTATCCCCATGTTTCACCACGGCTAGTGACTAAGTAAGTCCTCCCGTAGGATCAAAAATTACAGTACAATCATGTGTTCCAACCATGGCGAACCATGCCTATGAGATACCAGAAGGTTCTTGGGTACCAAACTTCCCATTTGAAATCGGAAAATCATGACAAAACATCTTTCAAAATCATGAAAATCATGGGAAATTCATGAAATTCACGGAACAGTCACTCCATTATCTCCATTTATGGCCAAAGCTTAACCCCCTTCACCAATCATTCACCAAGCTTAACCACCTAGCAATACTAGGCAAATCACCAGGATGATCCATGGATGATCTCCGAAGTTGCTTCGCAATGGGATTCTGGTGCTTTACCCCCCTCAAAAATCACATGCAGCATGCTGCAGTGACAAACAGCTTGGATCATTCGGATCATGGATGGATCATGGATGTTCCATTTTCATCCATTTTCCAACAATCACCAGATAATCACCATTGAATGGATTGGTTTAAGGGAAAATCTACAGGAAACCAAAGATTTTCCCATTAAATATAGGGCTTTCCTGTAAATTTTCCCTTAAACCAATCCATTGAACCATGCGGAGCTGTAAAATCTCCCGATCTTCCGGGGTCTTCGCCGCAGCTCAGCGTCGTTTGCTCGTACATGACCATGGCCGAGGGTGCTGTCACGGCTGAAGCAGCCCATTGGATGATGCCATCACCGTGGAGCGCTTGCATGTAGACCAAAACCTGGTGGAGCAGGTTACCGTTGTAGATCATTTGCCTATGAAAAATGGGGATTTCCCATTGATATGGCATGATATGACTATATTACTAGGGGCTAAGATTCCCAGGAATATGATCATTTTGGGTTCCAACATGCTTTAGCCATCAAAGTAATCAAAGGTCATATTGAAACCTCGTTCAAACCTCCAAACATTGGGGAACCATGCGGAAACATATTGACCAGCCTTGCACATGAACATACATGAACACCAGGAGTCCCAACTTGGTAAGCCCCACAAGTCCCGGATCTTTGGATTATCCATGATTATCCCATATGTCACTTCAGCATGGAGATTGATCACTTGCATCCCTCAATCATGTGCTGCTCAGGATAACTTCAGGATCAATTTTCCCATCCCAAACTGAAGATCCTTGGTAGGAGAGGAACCCCAAAAATAAAACGCACAGACAGAACTAACAAATGACAGCTCATGTCACTTCAATACGTCAATACACAAATACGCAAGCATACATTTACATCATATCTAAATATGAACACAAACACGGAGATCATATGTGTGTATAAATATGTATAAATATATACATGCAAAGAAAACTCAGGTACCCCACTTTTGCCATTTTCGCCGGGCACATCTTAATCTTCATCCTGGTTCAAATGTCAGGTCACACACTCTGCCACGAAGATGGTAGGAAGGTCGGGTCGCAAGCCACAGCCCTCCATGGCTGCAGTAAGCTCCGAGGAAATTCGCATGTCCTCGTTGCGGGGTGTCCGGGTCATTCCAGCTTTCACAAAGGTGCACTGTGACCATATGCATACTGTGAATTGTATTAGGATTCACTACCCTGAAAAAAGGCCACGCATGGGGAGAGTTACCCTTGGTTAGCCAATCATTTGGTCCATACTATCCACTTAAGGCAATTAGAACCACGGCCCCACTCGGCAGGCGTCTGCTTGCACCATCCGGCAGTGCTTGGTCCGAATCTCCCTCAAGCCCAGGGAACTTCGCGTGGTAAGTTCCTCCATGGTGCTGACATCCTGCCCAGTGGGAACCCATGGCGGGAAACGGTGACATTCCCAGTGCCAAAGGTAGGCAAGCTGCAATATTTTGTGTGTTTACCCTCTGGTAAACTAACATAACTATGGAAAATCACCATTTTTAATGGGAAAACTCACTATAAATTGCCATTTTAATTGTGTGTTTAATTGTGTTTAGGTGCTGCAAAAAATAAAAAGTGAGTAGGTGCTTACACAATGGGGGAAATTGCAACACATATGCATTTATAGTGTAAGTGGTTAGAACATTCCCCCCATTTACTGCAAAATATTGAACATAATGTAACGTACTAAAGTACCCGTTCAAGGTTGACCTGAGAATCCATCCACGACTGGAAACCCCAGTCGGGTTTTGGTAGGACAGAATGACTGGCGACCAAGGGTCCAACATGGGCCAAAGGTTTTGGCGCCGGCTGATGGCACTGATCTTCTTACCTGCCGACCCGACTCGCAACGGTTTCGTTGGATTCAAGGGAAAAATCATGGAAAACCGTGGGTTTCCCCCATCAAGCATAGTGGCTTCCATAATTGTGCTCTTCATCCAATTCTGAGATAGTTGGCGGTTTCAGCTAGTTTCACCCTGCCTCAAAAAATGAAACAAAAAGAGTAGTTGGAGAGAACATCATCTCAGGTAGGGAAGGAAGACATTGATTTATATGATTTTATATGTATATTATTATATACGGTTATAAGTCCCGGCAGGAGGCATAGATTGTAAATGTTCAAAATAATTATTTTGCATTCCAACTGTATTCCTGGTGTATCTTGGAAACGTATTCAAAATGTATTGCCTGGAAGCCTCTATAAACCTAGTGTATTTCCATGGGGCTGCTTGAATCACAGTTGAAAAGGCTGCTTGTTTGCTACCTTTCCCATCCTTTTGCTACAATCACCCCACTAGATACCTGGTACTATATATCTACAGTCTAAACGTATAGCTAGCTGCCAGCTACTGTGTACATATTTTAAAATTAAGCCCTTTTGTTACTTTACCTCTTTGACTATGTTAATTTATTTAGTTTTCTTTCTAAAACTTTTTCGTTGTATATAAATGCACATACATACATACATACATACATACATACATACATACATACATACATACATACATACATACATACATACATACATACATACATACATACATACATACATACATACATACATACATACATACATACATACATACATACATACATACATACATACATACATACATACATACATACATACATACATACATACATACATACATACATACTACATACATACATACATACATACATACATACATACATACATACATACATAACATACATACATACATACATACATACATACATACATACATACATACATACATACATACATACATACATACATACATACATACATACATACATACATACATACATACATACATACATACATACATTACATACATACATACATACATGCATAAAGTCATTCACAAGCCCGCTTGGAATACACCTGGAATTTAGGAATACACTTGGAATACACTTGGAATACACGTGGTATACACCTGGAATTCAGGAATACACTTGGAATACACTTGGAATACACCTGGAATTCAGGGATACACTTGGAATACACTTGGAATACACCTGGAATTCAGGAATACACTTGGAAATACACTTGGAATACACTTGGAGTAAAATTGGAATACACTTGGAATACACCCCTCTCAGGCAAAACCAATGAAAACCTAGGAAAAACAGGGGAATACACTTGGAATACACTTGGAATACACTTGGAATACACTTGGAATACACCCCTCTCAGGCAAAACCAATGAACACCTAGGAAAAACAGAGGAATACACTTGGAATACACTTGGAATACACTTGGAACACACTTGGAATACACTTGGAATACACCCCTCTCAGGCAAAACCAATGAACACCTAGGAAAAACAGAGGAATACACTTGGAATACACTTGGAATACACTTGGAATACACCCCTCTCAGGCAAAACCAATGAAAACCTAGGAAAAACAGCGTTTCTAGGAAATTTCCCTTCCAGTGTTGGAGGGCCAGCCAGGAGGGAATGCCTTTCAGGGGAATGCACCGGGAATACGTTTGGGGAATACACCGGGAATACGTTTGGGGAATGCACCGGGAAATACCGGGAATACGTTTGGGGAATGCACCGGGAATACGTTTAAGGAATGCACCGTTTGGGGAATACACCGGGAATACGTTTGGGGAATGCACCGGGAATATGTTTGGGGAATGCACCGGGAATACGTTTAAGGAATGCACCGTTTGGGGAATCCACCGGGAATACGTTTCGGGAATGTACCGGGAATACGTTTGGGGAATGCACCGGGAATACGTTTAAGGAATGCACCGTTTGGGGAATCCACCGGGAATACGTTTGGGGAATGCACCGGGAATACGTTTGGGGAATGCACCGTTTTGGGAGTCCACCGGGAATACACTTAAGGGGTGGGGGAGGAGGAGGGGGGGTGAGGAGCAGGGCCGGGTGAGGAGAGGGAGGGTGTGAGGGGGAGGGAAAGGAGGGAGGGGAGGGGAGAAAGGAAGGGAGGGGGAGGGGGAGAGGGAGAGGAGAGGGGTGAAGGGGGGAGGAAGGGATGAAGGAGGGGAGGGGAGGAGGAAGGAGGGGCTGCCTGGCTACCGGCTACCGTATCTATCCGAATCTTATCTGATAGTTTTGAATGGTGGTATAAGTGGGGGCTGCAAAAGGGGTATAGTACCGGGTAGGTGTACAGTGTGGTATAGTAAGTATAGTAGTATAAAGGGGTCTTCAACATATCTGGCCTTATTTGCTCAGTCACTCACCCACTCACTGTCCAATGTATGTCATTCACCACCCCAGTCCAACCATCTGTCTCAGAAGAGGGGTCCTAGGGGAAGAAGAAGATAAGCTCATGGCTTTCCCACAGCCCTTTCTACTCCTAGCCTGAGCCATTCATGTTACTGTCATGAAACCAGCCATGCAAGTGGAACACACTGCACGAACCAACAATACCCAGGAGTACGAATAAGGAGTACACTTAGAATACACTTGGGATACACTTGGGATACAAAATAATTACTTTTCATGGTGTGCAAGGTATGCCTCTGCCGGGACTTATAAATATACGGTGTGTGTATATAGGTATATACATTAATATATGTATATAATATCATATAATTACACATGTCAAACTGTCAAACCATCAACCACTGATTTTTAGAATTACATCTATGGCGCTGCTAAAAAGGTTGACTGGTTGACTCATCAGGGCGGGGACCTCTGATAAGTCAAACTTGGAACCAGTGGCATACCAGTGGCGTAAACTGAACCCTCCGGCAACTCAAGCTGGTAGGGGGAAATGACCCATCTTCGGGTATTCTGAATGTTTTATATTGGCATGATTGGAATTGATTGGATATGATTTGGGCAAGGGATTCCCAGCAACCATTCTGACCATTCCCTTCCCATTCTCTCAGCCCCCACTTGGCGCCGGACTCAGAACTTCTGGGAAGTCCACTTCAAAGTAGAACAGGTCGTCGCGCCAGCGGCCGGCATCCTCCCTGAGCCAGAAGTACAGGGTGTCGAAGCCGGCTCCGAGATTCACCTGGTTCCGGGCGAATATAAGGATGGGATGGTGGTGGGGAACCATACGGGCACCATTTCGATAAAAAAAACGGTTTATTATTTTTTTGCCTACCCTGCAGTGAACAAGTGTATCAACGAGAAAATGCCCATGTTTAGCCCACCTAAAAATTGGTGTCTTTCCAATTTCCCATGGCCAGCGTGCCAAGCAAAGCGTCCAAGGAGGCTGAGACATAACAATCCTGGACCCAAAACACGAACGTAAGCCAAGAGTGGGCCTGGTATTACAGTTTCATATAGTCTCACACGGTCTGTCTTATCCTATCTTACATATCTTATATACTTGTTCATACTTTTTTGCAAGTGCCATGTATACATCATCATCCATCATCTATAGAATCTATCATCATCTGCTCTCCGGTAATCAAACATGGCTAGCTGAGAACCCCCCAGCTATCCTTCAGGGTACTTGGAGGATCATCCCACCAATCGCAAGTGCGTGTAGTAAGTGCTTACTATCCAATAGCCCTGGATTGTCCATTACTATCCAATTTATCAACCTGTTATAACATGTTATAACCCCAGTTACTAACCTTACTAAGGATTCGTGGGATGTTCCTCCAAGTAGTCACCAATCCACCAAGTTGCTACCTGCACTCCTCCCGCCGGTGCTTCCTGTACGAAACGTAGCACCGTTTGACGAATGGCTTCCACCCGCGACCAGTAGCCGCGATGGATCAGCGGGGAGCCACTGGAGCGGTTCACCCGAATGAGCTGCTCAGTGTAGGGATCCTCCCAGGTCAAGCGATCGTTGGAGGCCCCAAATTCATCCGATTCCCATGGTAAAGCTGGGCACACAATAAGCCATGGACAATGATGACAATGAATGAACATGAATGAACATGACCCATTTGGAGTAGCTGCTTAGCTTCTTCACCCAACATCGCCATGTTCGAGTTTCGACCATCCCCAAGGGACACCTCAGCTGTAAAGTCTGAGAAACCTCAGCTCAACAATAAACCAGCCCCCAATAGGGGTTTGCCATGGTTTACCACATATCAAATAAATTGTAATGTAAAATATGAATGCAAAATGACCCATGAATGCTTGAGAAGTGGGATGGCTTACTATTGGGCCTATTGGATCCTATTGGGCCTACCCTCTGGTAAACTAACATAGCTATCGAAAATGGCCATGTATACTGGATTTTCCCATTAAAAATGGTGATTTTCCATAGCTATTTTGACATAACCAGAGGGTATTGGGCCTGTTGGGCCTACCATGGGCCCTACCGTTTCTCCTGGAAATATCCCAAGCGTGCGCAGGAGGCTTTGGCCAGCGCTGCATCGATGTGTGTGCACTGAACGGCTCCATCATCCGGTGGCCTTCGCCACTCGGGAGCCGGGAAGGCATAGCCACCACTCGCCATGGGTGGATCGAAATCAGCTGGGAATGGTGGGCAATTTCTCCTGGTCAATATATATTATATATATACTGCACGTTTTTGGGGAAAGAATCCTTCCTACTGCGTTGGTGTCTGAGCTCCGCGTCTCTGATCTGACAGTTGCGGAAGGAGATGGAAGGAGCACATCTCAAATCTGTGGGGTGTCTCACGCAGCTTCGCACCGAAACTTGTTGGATTGCTCTTCTGTCATTTTGGACGGGTTCCATTCAAAAACACCTCACTCCAGTGGAATTCTTTGCTTTTGAATGTTTTTGATCCATTAATTGTGTGCTTCTCGATGCTTCTTGGGTGTGTTTATATCCCAATCCTATGTGCGCCAACCTCCTCTGTTCATAATTTTGGAAGGCTTCATCTCTTTCCCAAAGCCCCCCCATCCCACAACAACATCCTGTGTCACTTTGACTTCGGAAGTATCCACATTCACCTGGGCTGCGGTGTTCATTGCAAGGCACATGCAAGTTGGTGGTTTCGAGATGCGTTTTGATGGTGATTTAACCAACAAATATGGGGATGGTTCCAACAAAAATGCTATACCATGGGGATATAATCGAGATATATCATTTAGTATTGAACAATCCATTGGTAGGATCTGATCAAAGAAGTCGCTTGCATTAAACACCCAGGAGAAATGCTTGAGGCATGGATGTGCCTTTGCAAAATTTTGCAAATGATTTGCCGATTTTGGACTTCCTGCACCAAGAAACAATTACTGTAGTTTCTGGTCTCTGGTCGTTTGGGTTTCTGCTCGATTTAGCAAATAATGATTGTTTTGCCCTGATTGAATCTTTGTGCCGTAGATTTCACGTCACAGCTCTGGTTGTGGCTTCTCTAATGGCCGACAAATAGTGAGGTTTGATGAGTGACATTGGCACCCATGGCGGAAGATCTTAGGGTGTTGGGAGCTCCGCCCTTTTTAGCAGGCCCGGAATGGACTTGATGGACTTGCTCCAAAATATACAAGCTATTCAAAGACCCTGTTGCTGCCCAGTCGCGAACATTGTCTGAGGCTCGCAAATCGCTTCTGCCCCTCGGACAGTACCCATATTCTGGAATTGGTTCAGCTACGTCAAAACCTGCCGATTAGAGTCATTTCAATTTTCATGTCTCACCCTGTTTCTTTGTTGTTTCTCCCTGATGCCTCACTTTTTTTGGACAGTTACCCTCTGGTTATGGAAAATCACCATTTTTAATGGGAAAATCCACTATAAATGGCCATGTTCAATAGCAAACTGTTAAATTACCAGAGGGTAAATCCTGACATGCCCCTCGAAAACATCGATCTGCAATCCATGTCCACATCCGCAATGTGGAACTCCAGGACTCCGGCGGCTCACCATTTCGGACGCAATGCCTAAGACCTCGATCGAGCGTTGAGTCGTCATGGCCGGATCCACAACACCAAAATGAGGAGCCGGTAGTAAAATCCACGTCGGACACATATTCATGATCATAAATTTAAGGGGTCAGTTTTGGAAACTCTTGGTGTCGCAAATATTTTTCATATCCTAAATAACCTTCATGAATTGTATTTGGAATCATCTTGGATGGTTTACCACATCTTTTTATACATTTTTACTATGCCAACATGGCCGCATTCCCCAAGGCCGCGGGCAAAGGGCAGCGGCGCACCGCAAAAGTCGACTAAGGCGTTGGGCAGCAGCGGTACATAGACCGCTGCGGGCCTACCGCCGCCATCGGTGGGGTGCCAAAAAGGATGACCTTTTGCACCAAGAAAGCATGGTCATAAAACCATAAATATATATACCATATAAACATATACCATCTGGTTACTGGTTATGACTAACGTAGCCATGGAAAATCACCATGCTATTGATAGGTGAAGCATTTATAAATGGACCATCTATACCATGGCAAACTGGTAGTCATAACCAGAGGGTATAATTAATCATTATAAAACCATGGTCTAGACCATGTAAGACCCATTCTTTTTGTATTGTGAATGTCATCGATCTGCGCCTGAGTGGCCAAATCAAGCCCACCTGCAGCGAGGGGACGATGTTCTGCTGCCAAATGTGTGGGACAAAAATGTTATAGGTGGGAAGGGTTTGGGGAGAACTTTCACCTCAATAATTATTCAAAACCTTCAATTCAATATATTATGATATATGTGTCTGATGATCTTCAATGATCTTCAATGACATGACATGTGATGACATGTTGAAACATGTTGAAACATGTTGAAACTGCCTCCATCGCTCCCAGGATTCAGCTCCAAGAGCCGACCACAGAGCCCGACCGCATCCCCGACTGAGGTCTGCACCAGAATTTCACAAAAGGCGCAAACAATCGAAAGACCTGTCACAGTGTCAGCATGTGTCAGCCATGTCTCGTTCTTTTTTTTGCTTTGTCCTGTCAAGTTCTCCGTGTTATCGTGTTGCTGCCATGTCAGCAGAACGTATGTGCCAAACAATGGGTGTGGTTCAGAAGACTCAAAAAGACTTGCAGCATGCACATTTTAAGAATATAATAGAATATATCAAATGCGGATTTCAACATATTTCAACTAATCAAACGCGGAGCGCGCCCAAGTCGTGGTGCTTTTTGCTGGCCACATTTTCTGAGCCGAGATCCAACTGCCTGCGGGCCTCCCGCGCTGCAGGGATCCCTTGGGACGAGTTGCCCGGTGATTTCAAGCAAAGTTGGAGCCTTTCGGATTCAGCTTTTTGCGGAATTTGATGATATAACATATATAAATATCGCCAATATCGCTTGATGTTCTTAAGTTATATGATGTCATATATGTTTGTGCCAAATTGAAGAGAAATCTGTGAACTCTTGAGCCACATTAGTGCCACATTAGTGCCACATTAGTGCCACATTAGTGCCACAGTCACCCTGCCAAGTCATTTTGAGGTCTCGTTGTCCTCGTCGTCGGCATGGCCTTGAAGGGCACGCCCTGCTTCTGCGTTGGCCGCCCAGGCGGCGCTTTGGGAGTCAGGACCAGCACCGGTCGCACTGGCGACAAGGGTCCAGGCGACAAGGGTCCAGGCGACAAGGGTCCAGGCGTTAAGGTCCTCAGAAGGGAAATGCTTCAGATTCATTCAGATTCCATGGGTGTTGCCCGTTCTTCATGCTATGAAATATCATGAAATTGGGAGATCTGCACATATTCATGCAGAATGACCGTGTTACTGTGTTGCATACTTAGTATACCAGTTGTTCTGGGTACTTACTTGTCGGTGGTTGAGCCAGCCATCTAAATATGTACAGTATGTATAAGTGAAAGTTGAGAGAACATGATCATAGGCGATCATAGGTTGAATGGCAAATATCGATAGTTGAAACATATGGGGGTTTCATGGGGTTCCTGAATTGGGGGTGCCCCAAATTTTATCAATTTTAATATGATGTTCCATTACAAACAATCCATTTTGGGGTGTGTACCCCCATTTTAGGAAACCCATGGAACCCCCCATATTGAAACCACCACTTTCTTGATTTTGCTGCGCTGCCTGAGTCAAATTGAAACCGCCAACCGGTTCACTTTCCTTTGCTGTATTTTTTGTGCCGGGTGCGAACTACAAGGATTTTCCAGGAATGACCACTAGCTGAAAAAACACAAGGACATTATTATATAAGTTATGGCGCCTTCAACCCCCCGATATCCCAAGTCTGTCGCAGTCCATGGGGTAGTTTACGAACTTGATGAGTCATTCCAGCGTGTCAAAAATCCATTGCCCCCTGCTTATGAACAAAATTGAGTCGAAACCTGCAAGGACTTCATCATCATTTAAGCGCCGGGGCCCATGATCAACATAGGAATTTGATCAATGGGCATCCCCAAAGTTGCTAGTGAATCGCCAGGAAAAGTGGATTTTTTTTATCCCATGGGGCGAAAAACATGATGCCTGCAGTACCGGTAGAGGTTCCCCCCCAAACCGTTTTGGTTCCGAGCCGCAACGGGCCAGCTGGCTTGGCCGGGGGCAGCTCGGTCCTGAGGTCAACACTGACCTCCAAGAAAACCTGCTTCGCAAATATATATATATATGAATAATAGATATTATATATATATATACGTATAAATAGATTATACATATGTAATTGTATACTGTATTTATTATGTGTAATTATATATATATATAAATATGCTGTTACCGATTGGGATTCAGAATGATTCAGATCATCCCATGTAATTACAAGGATGGAACATAAGAATTTGAGACCATCAATCCGATTGGTTGGATGCACGGTAAACCACCAAGCCAAGCAGTGAAATCATGGCTGATCCATCTGATGTGAGCGATTGTGAAAACCCTAGGTTCACGGAAAGGACATCCACAAATTTGGGAAGGTCCCATCGCTTACCACACGTTTGTACAATAATGATATATGGTAAATTTGGGGGGTATCGCTTGCAGGAAACTGCTGCATTTATATATATATATATATGTGATGAACTATGAATAATATGTGATATTTGGGTATCGCTAATGTGGATATTAGAGAAATATGATGACATAACCTTGAAAAGGGGTATCGCTAATTTGGGAAGGTCCCATCGCTTACCTCGTGTTTTTAACAATTTCCATCAATTTCCATAAGCCAATGTCCGTCGAATACATATTTAGTATTGCCGGGGTTTTTACGGTTGCTCATGTTATGGTTGCATAGTCTAGAGAATCCGGCCAAAGAAAAGCGCACGGCCCACCTTGATCAAGAGGGGTGATAGGTCAATGTTTCAATTTTCTTCATGGCCTTCTGATTCAAAACATCACCAGCTTGGCAAAATGATCGACCTTTTGGGCCCTTTGACCAGAGTTTCCTTTTTACTTCTGTGTCTCCCAGCCAGTGCTGGTGAAATGACCAAAACCATCATGATCCAACATTCTGGATTCCCCTTGAGGCTATGCCATGTACAGGAGGTCAGACCCCAACATTTACATACATCCCACTCGCTAAGAATCCAAGACGGGATATGATATATGACCAAAAAACATCAGGTCGATATCGCCAATGGCCACCAGCACCCGAAATGGTCATGGAGTCATGGAGCTGCAGCTCACCAAGGTCCACTCCCCAGCTCACATAAATATAGGATTATATAGATCCTATACTCCTATAATTCCTATATAAATCCTAAATAAATACTATGTAAATCCTATATCGTATGAATTGACACCAACATCTCTCCATAAATCGCATCCCGAGGCTTCACGGGCGAGCAGGTGCCCAAAAAGTCAATATCATATTTATATATCACCCAATCTCACCCATCTAAGAAACAAATGATGACTAAAGTATCCCAAAAACGATTCCTAAAACCAAAGTTAAAATATAGACTGTTAATGAATGTTATATTGATTTGGAAAGTTCTTTTCCATGGTGCTTTCCCATGTTATCCCACCTTGTTCATCCTTTTTATTGACACAATTATATAGATATGGAAAATCCACCACTTGTAGAATATTTTCCGAACGGGAATCCCATGGGTTTTCAACGTTTATAGAGTTTACCACCCATCACTTTTTGCGAAGTAATCTTCCTAAAACCATGAGATGGGGGAAACCATCATTTTTTCAATAAAACCCACATGGTGCGTACATATGTTATCATGAAAAATCCATGAGTGTCCATCATTGCCATGAAACCCACGAGTTTCCATCATTTTGCACCATTTTTTTCGTAAAATCCCGAAGTTTCCCCATGTTTCCCCACTTTTTCGTCCAAGTGTCTGCTCCTTTTCCTCCAGCTCCGCCTTCTGAGCCTCCACCAGGTGCCGCGGCGGCGGCGCCGCCGGCGGCCGCGGCTGCAGCTTCACCGGAGGCCGCGGCGGGCCCAGTTGCTGCTCGAGGAAGGGCAGCAACAGCCCTTGGTCGTGGAAGACCAAGACCTTGGAAGATTTTCATAGATGGTTTAGTGAGTTTAGTGGTTAGAAGATGGAAGATGGTGGAAGATTGAGAGATGGAAGATTGTCATATAGATCTAGTGGTATACTATGGTATGCTAATTAGTGGTTAGAAAACTATTAGTGGCCAAACATGGTTAAACAATTAGTGGTATACTTTGCAATTGCTAGTGGTACCCTCTATAATATCGACCAAGGTCGAATAGTGATAGGTCTTTTGTTCTGTGGTTAATTAACTATATATTGGTGGTATAATCCCCTTGGTAATTACCAATTACTGGTACAGTATAAGACCCCTTGGTATAATCCATTCCCCCAATATGAAACACATCCCAGAAACCATGGCCAAGGGCTGTTTTGTTGTCAGAAACCTTCGGGATTCAATCAGCCAAATTGGGATACTTAAGGAAAGGGCTGTTTGAAGCATCAAAAACGGAGAAAATTGAAGACAGTCAGTATAATTCAGTGGATTTGTTTCTACAAGACCAAAACTGTTTGCCCAGAATTTCTGGGCACATTCGGACCGCGCGTGTTGTTGTTTGAATAAAATGAAGACATGTGAAATATCATAATATGAAATTGATATGAAAGAGGCATTTGGGGGTTCCGTGAATTTTGATTGTCACTTCTGCAAGGATCCAGGTTGAATATGTTGAATTTGGCTCCAACAACTTGGGTTCCCAACAGTGGCCAGTGCATAGTAGGAATGCAGAGTGCCACCAGGAAGTGCCAATCCGAGCAAAGGAAAATCCGTGTACTTTTCCTCGTTCTCAAAGTTGATGGTCGGGAGGGAGTTTATGGGAAACCATGGTCCTTTAAACTTTCACCATCTGGTTCAGGAGGAACATGACAATGATAATGCTACACATATTGTATATATATATATGTTATTTGTATATTATATATGATAGATATACGGTAACTACCTTTAAATATACGGACTTTTGTATAAATATAAGGTATTTTAGACTACCTCTGGGAAGGTTTTCCTTGGCCCGCCCGGCCATTTGAACATATGGAATCCAATTCATTTAACATACAGTAACTACATTTAAATGTACGAACTGGTACTTCATACATTTTCATACTACCTTCGGGGCCTCGCGGTCTGGCCCGCCCTGCACATATTTATGTAAATGCCGTAATGTCGTTACCGTATATTTGTATATATATATATATACATTTATTTCTACACACACATATATATATATATAGATATTGATATATGTATGTCTATATATATATATATATGTGTGTGTGTGTGATATGTATATATATATGAGAGAGATATGGTGCACCATCTATAGATGATATATACATATACAGTGATAATATAATATATATATATATAATAATAATCAATATGAGATATATGATATACAAATATATATATATATACATATATTTATTTATATATACATATACAGTAATATACACGTGTATGTGTATATATATATATATGTATATATGCAAACATATATGTCATCGAGCTAGGTTGCCCTCGAAGTAAGTGTTAAATTATGTTAAATTCACCCATGCTGATCCACATGGATGGGCATAAGTTCTGTTTGGCTTGTGTTCTCTGACCTGGCTGGAGTGGCACCAGACATCCCCAAACATCACCAGACATCACCAAACATCACCAGACATAGTTCTTATTCCTCAAAACATAAAACATGAGTGTGCATCGTGCACCATACGGTTCAGGTCCTCGGCAGTAGAACAAACTCAAACTATTCGACCCAAGTCCCCAGAATTCAGCGCTCATTATCAATTTCTACTCCAACTCTCATTCACTGCCCAATCTGCCCAGCCGCCCCATTTTGGTCACCATCCCAGCCCCATTTCCAAGGATTTCCAAGGCACCAGGGTTTGCCGCAGACTCTCTCGGATCTGCTCGGAGATGCCATCAGGGCCACCCAAAATCAGCAGCAGCCGCTGCAGCCGCGCACCATTCGATGCACGTGAAGAATGAGACCGCTGCTCCTCAAGGCGTTCGAGGGCCCGAGTGGCCGCGGCGAACCTGAGATGTGGAGGGGATAGGGAGAGGCTGAAGTAGAGATTACACCAAAGTAAGTTGAGTGAAAATTATCTTTGGGATTCTTCGGGATAATTCGGCTTTTAAGTGACTTGCACAAAAGAAGCATTGTGGGAGAAATCTTGTTGAAATTTAAATCGTGTGAATAGGCATTAGATAACTAGATTCACTAGATATAACTAGACTTTGGCGGCGGGTCATGATCACCCCAGTGACGTGATTACACCTTGGTTTGCCAAGTTTTGCCCAAGCTTGGCTCACAGCCTTCATTCATTTCAAACATCCCTGTGTCTTGGGACGCATTTGGATATGAATTGTTTCATAAGCGCTTCAACCCACCCCGCACAGGACCCCAGGACCAGGGGCACCTCAATTCGCAGCTCCCACCCTCCAGGATCACCGCCGCAAAGTGGCCTCCCTGCTTCGATGCCTGGGCTCGATATCTGCGCGCCCGGCGTCGCAGGCAGGTGACGAAGTCGTCCCCAGGGGACCCGTTGCTGATGCGCATCCCCGTGTTGGTGGCGCGGCGGTGGTAGCAGTCCAGGATTCCACCAATCACGATGCGCTCAGTCAACACCTTCCGACGGTTCAAGGTGTTGTGCCGATGGTATTGGGTCAAACGAAATTCCACACAAGCCTTGGCGCTCAGCATCATGAAGTGCTTCACATATCGCTTGAAGCCCGGACCCTCTGAGGCACACATTCGAAGTGTCACTTGTGCATTTTCCATTCGGCCCTTCCAGCTATCAACCAAGGCATCAGAATTCCGATCGATCCTTGGAAAGCCACCAGGGCCATAGCCCAAGAGATCCCATCCTTGGCCCTCCAACCCACAGCCCCAGTAGAGGATTCCCATCTTAGGCTGGTTGCGACAGGCTGCAGTTTTAGGGGAGGCAGTTCCAGAGTCAAAGGACGACTCAGATACTCTGCTCCAACTTCGTCGCCTGGGTGGCGTTTGAGGCCTCACCTGCACCTGCCGCACAGGCGGGCTGCGCGCCCTGCGTGGGCTGCGTCTGCGGGGTCGGCTGCTGCGGCTGCGGCTGCGGCTACGCCGACGCCGGCCGCGGCTGCGGCTGCGGCTACGACTGGAAGGTCGGCTGCGGCTCTTTTTGCGTCGGCTCCGTCGGCTCCGACTCTTCCGTCTACTGCTGTAGCTGCTGGAGCTGGAGCTGGAGTCCTTCTTGGACTTCTTGGCCTTTTTGGACTTTTTAGCCATCAGCCATGTTCTTTGACATAGACAGCTTTCTGACAGCTGAATCTACGATTGGCACTGAAAATGCTGGCGTGTTGCCTTGCTTCTGCCAACATGTGGAAGCTGTTTGCCCAAGCATCTGACATCTGGCCTAGGTGTAGACACTTGAACCTTTGAACATACATTGGGCATGTGAATTTGTTTTTTCATTCCATATTCCATGTTCTTCACAGTTTCCGTGTTTCCACCTGCTTTTTTTGGCATCTTCAGGCTTTAATTGAATCTTGAGCCGGTCTCCGATGAAAAAAGGCGCACCACGGGCAGCTCCACCATGAGCCCACAGTCATGCTGTCCCATGAAGTCTCATGGGTGTTTCCCAAACTTCAGGGAACCACCAGAAACCCATAGAAACACTAAATAGGTCTAAATGGCATCTCTCAGGCATCTCTCAGGCCAGAACAAGTGGAATGCAAAACAATCCTCTGCTCCACCAGTAACGCCTGGTGCCGTCTGCTGAAGGGGGACACATGTTTATCAACATTTTCTCAGCTCACGTTCATGGATTGATTGATCTAAGATATCTAAGGGCAAAGGACAGCATAAGTTTTACTGGTCTTACAATGTCTGGTCTTACAAAAGAGTCCTCTGCAGGTTTCCTCTTCAAACTATCCTGGGAATGCAGCAACTGCGTCAAACATGCGGATCAGCTCACATCAGGCATTCAGAAGGACAGAGGGTACGAATCCGAGGCATTCTGAAAAACATGTGACGGGAAAAGAACTTGAACAGTATGGCTTAGGAAACGAACCGTGAACCGGGAACCGAACCGTTCAGGAACTGGCAGGCTAAGAACCGGCGCGAACCGAACCGCCAATTATTCTTACGCAAACCGAATGGGCACGAACCGAACCGCCAATTATTTTTACGCAAACCGAATGGAACCGAACCGGTTCCACATTCTCAAAAAAATTATTTTGTCAGCTTCCGGGGGTTCCGAAAATGATTTTCGCGAATTGAAAATCAAATTGGAAAGAGGAATCAACTGTAATGAATGGATTCCTGCGCAACATAATCTGCCAAAGTGCTGCAGGAATTGCAAATGATCAGTGCTGGCTGCTACTACTGCTACTACTGCTACTACTGAAACTACTGCTACTACTGCTACTACTGCTACTAAGAACTGTTGCTATTACTATTACTGTTGCTATCACCAGCACTACTGTTGTATATTATATTACTACCTCTATTACTAGCCTCTCTGCCCGTTCCTGTTCGGCAAAGCCCGGTCGGGACCCATACCTGCTGGGGAACCGCTTACGAGAGGCTACTATTTTTCTTCCTCGTAGTCTTACTAGAACTAGTATTACTTCTTTACTACTATTATTACTAATTCTACTTATATTGTTGCTACTGCTACTGCTACTGCTACTGCTACTGCTACTGCTACTGCTACTACTACTGCTACTACTGCTACTGCTACTGCTACTACTACTGCTACTACTGCTGCTACTACTGCTGCTACTACTACTACTACTACTACTACTACTACTACTCCTGCTACTGCTACTACTACTACTACTTTTTTTCACTTTTTGCCAAAACAACTCCGAAAATGATTTTCGCGCAGTGAAAATCAAGTTAAGGAAAACATCTAATAGTATTCGTCCTCGTATGGCTAGACTACTACTGCTGCGACTATTACTATTTCTGTTGCTATCACCACCCCTACTGTTGTATATTATATTGCTACCTCTATTACTAGCCTCTCTGCCCGTTCCTGTTCGGCAAAGCCCGGTCGGGACCCATACCTGCTGGGGAACCGCTTACGAGAGGCTACTATTTTTCTTCCTCGTAGTCTTACTAGAACTAGTATTACTTCTTTACTACTATTATTACTAATTCTACTTATCTTGCTGCTACTGCTACTGCTACTGCTACTGCTACTGCTGCTACTCCTACTACTCCTACTACTACTACTACCACTACTACCACTACTACCACTACTACTACTACTACAACAACTACTACAACTTTTTTCCACTTTTTGCCAAAACAACTCCGAAAATGATTTTCGCGCAGTGAAAATCAAGTTAAGGAAAACATCTAATACTATTCGTCCTCGTACGGCTAGACTACTACTGCTGCGACTATTACTATTACTGTTGCTATCACCACCCATACTGTTGTATCTTATATTGCTACCTCTATTACTAGCCTCTCTGCCCGTTCCTGTTCGGCAAAGCCCGGTCGGGACCCATACCTGCTGGGGAACCGCTTACGAGAGGCTACTATTTTTCTTGCTCGTAGTCTTACTAGAACTAGTATTACTTCTTTACGACTATTATTACTCATTCTACTTTTATTGCTGCTACTGCTACTGCTACTGCTACTGCTACTGCTACTGCTACTACTGCTACTACTACTACTACTACTACAACTACTACAACTACTACAACTTTTTTCCACTTTTTTCCACCTTTTGCCAACACAACTCCGAAAATGATTTTCGCGCAGTGAAAATCAATTTAAGGAAAACATCTCATAGCATTCGTCCTAGTACGGCTAGACTACTACTGCTGCTACTATTACTATTACTGTTGCTATCACCACCCCTACTGTTGTATATTATATTACTACCTCTATTACTTGCCTCTCTGCCCGGTCCTGTCCGGCAAAGCCCGGTCGGGACCCATACCTGCTGGGGAACCGCTTACGAGAGGCTACTATTTTTCTTACTCGTAGTCTTACTAGAACTAGTATTACTTCTTTACTACTATTAGTACTAATTCTACTTATATTGCTGCTGCTGCTGCTGCTACTGCTACTGCTACTGCTACTGCTACTGCTACTACTACTACTACTACTACTCCTGCTACTACTACTACTACTACTACTACTGCTACTGCTACTGCTACTGCTACTGCTACTGCTACTGCTACTGCTACTGCTACTACAACTTTTTTCCACTTTTTGCCAAAACAACTCCGAAACTGATTTTCGCACAATGAAAATGATGTTTGGCTAATGTTTGGGTTTTGCAGGCACTGCCTCAATTTCGATGCCTGAAAACGACTTTCGCCATATGAAAATGGCATTTGGCTGCTGATTGAACCTCTGCCGGCCACGACTGGATTTCGACAGCTGAAAGTGATTTTCGCAAAATGAAAATGCCGTTGGCAATGGATCTGTCAATTTCACTGTACACTGGTTAGATGTACGAATTCTAATAGTTGATGATGATAATCATTACCCCCAATCCAAGAAACAGCATACGCAATTTAGTCATCAAAAAACCGTGGTTTTGGACACTGCTTATACTTAGATGCTGCAAACACTCGGCCCCACCACCAGTTTCAAACATTCAAAAACCAAATCCCTCTGCTGCAACATAACATTACTATTTGCTATTCATCCACACCCATTCTGTCAAAGACCTCTCGTCCTGCAACACTACACAACACGAACCGAACCGAACCGAACCGCCATGTCACACGAACCGAACCGAACCGAACCGCCATGTCACGCGAACCGAAACGAACCGGCCTGCTGATGAACCGAACCGCCCCTATTTGAGGTTTCCACGAACCGAAACGAACCTAAACGAACCGAAGCCTTCCTGGTTCTAAACATTTATAAACCAACTATTTTGGGGGTAACTCGGCAACTCCCAATGACTATATGGAAACCGCCATTTAGGGCATGTTTTGATCCCCCTGCTCCCCGTTGGCCCCCCGGCCATGACGTTGGTGTAGCCGCCAATGGTCTGCTCACGCTCCGGCACCTGCGCCCGGCCGGACCAGTCCTTGCCAGCATAGGTGCCCACCTGCTTGGAGCCTCGACGGATTTGTGACGAATGTCACGGGTCAGAAGCAGTGGGGTAGTGGCACCAGTGGCCATCAAAGGCCATGGCCATGGATGGTCTTCTTCTGTGGATATGGGAAAAATAAACAGGATTCATGTGACAAATTATGGGATTTAAACAGGATTTATGTGACAAATTATGGGATTGATGCGGGATTTATGTGACAAATTATGGGATTTAACAGGATTTATGTGACAAACTGTGGGAATTATGCATTTTTATCCGGGTCACTAATATGGGATTTATGTGTGATTTATGTGGCTGTTGTATCATTTTAGTAGAGGCATTCAAAAACATTTATCATAAACCATTGCTTAGAGATGATAGTATGGGCTTGTATCATGCGCGCTGAATGGAGGGAACCACAAATCCACTGCTTTATTTTTGCCGTACAATAAGATCTGCAATTTTTCGATGTGTCTCTTGGATAACTGTAAAACTGACAAGGCGATCCAAGCCAAAAAATACCATCAATCCTATCATGTGGTTGGGAAACTCTTCGCCTTAGCTCCTGGGAGATAGATATAGCTCGGAGCCGCATTGCTCCCTACTTGAGCCATTCAGAATACCCCGTCTTCCTCTCTCAGCTTTCCCCAATGCTGAGTTCATAATCCCCAATGTTCAGGTCGTATAACTCCTTACAATAAACTAACAACATCCAATAACCACTCAACTAAGCTACCTTTCTTCATGGCAACACAGGGCAATAGCTCAACGAAGGAACATTTCTGCTCCTGGCCCTCCATGCACTTGCTGCACTCGAGGCAAGAGTCCACCATGCAGCCCACGCCAATGTGATCTCCCACACTGAACTTGGTCACTTTGCCTCGAGCTGATTGGTGGTTGAGGAAAGTTGAGCCCCCTGAAAAACCGGAAAGTCATTGAGGATCATCCCAGCGCCTGGCGCCGACTCTTGTAACATCTAATCTGGTGCTTGGGCAAGTCCACTTGCAAGTGGAGCACAAAGAAAAGCTATGAAAAGCTATGAAAAGCTAGGGATCAACATCATTGGCCATGGATGAATTAAAGACACCAAATCAACCAAATACAGAACAAACCCAAGCTATCGCGGGGAAAAACACATTTGGGCACAACTGGTATCCTATTCTGACCCCCAAAAACAGAAAGCGATCTGCTGTGATGAACGTACAGTAGCAGGTACCCCAAGGATGCCCATGACAGCGATAGATCCCATGGTAGAACCTCCGCAGATGGATGTTGTGGATCAACATATGTTTTTTCCGGTGAGGCTCCAAAGTAAAATACTTCATCACCAGCTGAGCGGGCGATTAAAAAAACACAGCTACTGTGGTGAAGATGCCGCGGGATGATGTAACATGACCACGTCCGGAATTGGCTTCATGGTTTTTTCATGGTTTATTGGCGAACTACCATCACCCGTGTGGAACTGGTTTATGGAACTGGTTGGGTAGCTTCGCCGAGCCGCTGCCAATCTGTTTGACCACGCCCGCCAACTCGTGTCCCGGCACACAAGGATATTCCACCTTTCGCCCCATGGCATGGTGCCAGAAATCCCTCTGTCATTCCATGAAATACTGGTTGGTTAAGAACGGGATTCCCGTTCTTGGATGATTATAACCCCCAATATATAGGGTAGCCCCCTGTACTCATCAGCCAACAGGGCTTTTGAACACTGCTCAAATGGGGACCAGGCCCAGTAGGGCGTGTCTGAAAACGGGAAATCGCCCCCCCGTGGCAACGTTTTGTCAAGTGAAGGCTAAGCAGGCAATGTATTGGAAGATGTGAAGATTAGCCAGTGCATATGGGGTACTCATGTTTGGACAAGCCAATAGATAATAGCAATGGCAATCACTGTGTTGGTAGATAAGTAAAGTCTTGGGGCAAAACGCATTGGTAAACATTGAACATTAACATATAACACCCAGGGTTTACTTCGGGCATAATCTTCATGGATTGTTGATTTTCCATATCTTTGCGACATTTGTTGGAGGGTGAACACGTTAGTTATATATATAAGATACTGTAATAGCTGCACATCTTAAAGTATTGCTATATATATAATGTAGAAATCATAAGGTATACTTGCAAATGTGAGTAAACAGATGTAAACAACCATAATTCTATACAGTCTATACATATATAATCATATATATATATATTCATATATTATGTATATGTATGCAATACAAAAATGGAACAAGAAAAGATCCATCTCCCAGCCGTGCTTAACGTGACCCTCCCAGTCCACCTTCCCTAAGACGTTCTCCATGTGTCCCGCAGCGATATGAAGGTCACTATGACAGACGCCGCAGTATTTCATCTCAATGAGCCTGGGGTGTTAACCACCATCCAACATGGGTATTGTTGTACAAGAAAACCAAGTAACATAAGGTTAACCACAATCCAACAGTGGTAATTGTTTTTTTGTTTCCGTAGATGATCTACAAAAATGGCTTTATAAAACAAATGATGTAAAAGCAAATTGGGTAATGAAGTATTTCACCCAAACCCAGAGATTCAGAACATCAGTGAAACACTGCGCCAGAAATTTGGCCATGAGTGAGGGGGCATCCCCATATCTGGACGAACACCGCTGGGAAATTCCCTGTTCAAGGTAGAATATCCACCAAAACATGGAGGGATCTTTTTTACCTGTCGGGTGGAGCTGGATTCAATCTTCTCTTGTTACGCTGGATTGAAAATCCACAAAAGAATGGGCTCAGTTGGGGAATTTGGACGTTAAAATAAGGATTGGGATTGAAAGCGTTCCCGTTTGACAATCTACTTTGCTGACGAGCTCATTTTGGTGGTTCGTAGCCCCAGCCCCTAACATCCCCAACTGGGGCCCCCAACTTCCCCATTTCGTAAAGTTCACCATGCTTCTATCACTTCCTAGAATCCACGTTGCTCTTCCAAGTGCTTTTCTGCTCCTTCCATCCCCTGTCCGTAAGCAAAACTCTGGTGGTTTCAATCCCTTTGAAAAATATGACTTCGTCAGTTGGGATGATGAAAATCCCAATATATGGAAAGTCATAAAAACCATGTTCCAGTCACCACCCAGAACTGTATTGGGATCTTGTCCATGATCAGACAAACCTAGATTCCCCGATTCCCCGATTCGTGGGCTTCAAGTGGGCCATGCCCCTTCCATCCCCTTCCCATCAAGCAGCACATCCAGGTCGTTCAACTCTCGTCTCTTCAGCCTCAGGGGCTCGAAGCTGCAGGAGGAATCCTTACATCCCATGCAAATGGCCTCCATGGCGCGCGCAGCAAACCGGAAGAGCTGTGGAAGCTGTGGAAGCTGTCGAGACACCGAGGAATGGAATATGGGTACCTGAGGTCATTGCTATGATACCTGGCTTTTTTATATGGTATAATCATAAATCTAGATAAATCTGCTATCTGGGTATGATACCTGGCTAACTCAGAATTCTCAAAGTCCATTAACGTCCACTGAGAGCATCCCAGGTATGAATGGAAATTGGAATGCGGGAAACTTGTGGAGCAACTCACAGATTCGTCTGTCCCGACACAACAAGACAAACTCTGCCAAAATCCAGGAAACACTTCCCCCATGAAGTGTACCCTATAGACCTTTAACATGTATTATATATATATATCATATAATAAAATAAATATATTATATATATATATATATATATTTTGTATATTATATATTATATATTATATAGTATATATTATATATTATATATTATATATTATATATTATATAGTATATACTATATATTATATATTATATATTATATATTATATATTATATAAAATTATATGATATATTATATATTATATTAAATTATATTATATTATTTTGTATTATATCATAATATATTATATTATATTATATTATATCAAATTATATTATATTATATTATATTAAATAATATTTTATTATATTATATTATACTATATTATATTATATATATTGTACATATTGTATATATATATATATTAGATATATATAGTAATTAATATAATGCATACATATATAGTATAATTAGCAACAAACGATAATTAATATCAATAAATAATAAACACAAAACAACATGCCAAACTACAACTTCCATTTTGGAACAGTGCCATAATGTCTCAATCCCCTTCAACAAAGCTTTGTGCTTCCAACAAAAGCCTGCACCGCCCATGACGGCGCATAAGATCGCGCTTCTTTGTGGACAAAGCCGTAGTGGTCAAATTGTACAAGAACCAGCTTCAACCTCATACATACCTTTATAATAACATAGGGGTCATAGTTATAGTTGTTTGTGATGCTTATCGCCTGCAACCCTGCTATCATACTTTGGCTGTCACCCCATGGCCCGAATGGATCCAAATGGGCCACCGGAAACAGTTTGCCGACGGCTGGCCCTAGACTTTTTTCACCAGACAACTGCAGCACAGTGCGGATACCTTCTGTCTAACACACGCGGTGCCCCAGAAATAAACCAGTGGTTTTCCAGATGTTTTTTTGGGGGTATCCTATTCGCAGACTGTATTCAAGCCATTTGAACAGATGCAATCGAATTGCAAGGTCCACTGTGATAATTAGTCTGCTGGTGAATGGGGATTTCAGAATGTGAATTGTCCAAATCATCCATTTATAGATGGGATTTTCCATGACATAAACCACCTAGCGAGCTTGGGGTACCCACATGACTATGGAAACCACCAGATAGAAAGGTCCTGTGCATCCAAGTCTTTGCCACAGTCCAATGCCAAGCTCGCAGGTCAGTTGTGGTAGACTCCTAAGTAGCAATTTTCACCTCTCGGGAAGTAGCCATACAGTAATAGCTTCTAGTGCTTATAATGCTTCTAGTACCCCTGAAATCGTTATTGGGTGAATTGAGTATGGCATGTGATGGCATTGGATTTACGAAACGACCATTGATGCGAACCCGCTGACTGTAGGTCCACCAAGCATCAAAGAGAGAAAACCTCAACTGAGGATTGATCGGAGGATCAAATGCCCAGATTACAAAAACCCAACGATTTGCCAATCTGAACCAAGGCCACCATGACGAGATTGGGAGAAGATCAAGGCTGCAATCTAATGAATCTAATATGTTTAAATTTACGTATGGACATGTGGCAATTTATGGAAGAACTCAAAATTCCTGGATGATGTACACGAAATTTGGAATGTTGCTGTCCAAACATGGAATGGGTAGTATACCAAATGTATACAAATGTACCATAAACTACCATAGATCTTCGGGAAAATCGTGGAAAGTCACCCAAGGATTGCGGGAAATCTCTATTCTATTTTCAAACAAAGCCATATTTTGGGGCAGGAAAACAACAAACATCTTCCCAGGCAAAAAGATGCTTTGTCAAAAACTAGAATATTCTTCCAGTGGCAGGTGAATCATCATTTTCCCGAGTGTAATCACATTGGGGTTGGGGGGTGTTTTTTTTCCAGATCATCCTGTGTTATAAATCTTATATTACTGTATATCCCGTAGATATTCCCTTGACATCTCAACCAAGGTTGGATAGTCTGACCCAGTCTTCAACCCTATGGAGGTGGCATCAACGTGACCTGCGCGCCTGACTTTGTAGCAATGTGACCTACGTGACGTCAGTTTTTTGCAAACACTGTTAACACTGTTAACACTGTTAACGTGTCGCATACAAAAAGCATCCAAAGCAATGATTGCTGAATGTATCCAAGATTTTGGTTGCTAAGTGGCCTGCTGTCTATTTGTGCTGGATGGGACTAGCGTGGTAAAACAAAAAACACATAAATGTCTATAGTTTGCCATTCAATGTGTAGTTCATTCTGCGAATGGAATGTTGTTTTTCCATGACAGAATCAAACAGCAATTCTCGGCTGGTAGAGCCAACAAACACCCAGATCTATTGCTCAAGGTGCTCACAAAAATTCACGACATGGTCGACCTATGCACATGTATAAAATATGTATATATATTATAACATATAAATATTATTTATATATATATATGATTTGTATATATAATAACAATAATAACAATAATAATAATATCAATAAAAATAATATCAATAATAATAATAACAATAATAATACTAATAATCAAAATAACAATAATACAATTTAAAACAATAATAACAATCATAATAACAAAAATAATACTACTACTAATAATAATAATAACAATAATAACAATAATGATAATAACAAAAATAATGCTAATAGTAATAATAATATCAATAATAATAATATCAATAATAAAATTAAAAACGATAATGACAATAATAATAACAATAATAATAACAATAATAATGCTAATAGTGATAATAACAATAATGATGATATGTATTAATATTAATGTGTATATATATATATAGTTTTTTCACTGGGCATCGCAGCTGAGACCAGTCTGAGCCTTGAAAGTGCCAAACACACCAAGTCCGTCTCGCAAGCTCTGCGGGGGAGGCGAGCATGTCGCATGATGTGGGTGACACATTGCGACTGGTTTTGACGATTGACATCTATTGACTATAGTATCTTCCCAATATACAGTAAGTTCATGTATACATATGTATATGTATCTCTATATATGTATATATATATATATGCGTATGAATCATAGATGTCCAAACATGGAATCCCCAAGATGATCATGATCTATGTCCTTGAAGCAGTTGGTTGACTTCCCACTTTAGAACAGGCCATCATCTCCGGTCATCCATAGCCATCTAGACTTGGTCCCATGGTAAACCTGACAGCCTCATCTTACAGCTGCATGGCCCTGAAATTGATTCCAGTATTCATTTTAGATAATTCTCGAACATTGTATATATATATAATGATATATATATATATGGATATGATATTGTATATATATATATTGTATGATATGATATATCATGGATACAACACATATATATATATATATATATATATACGTATATATATATATATAGTATTATATGGTTGTATTACATTTCGGTGCGTTGGTACACTATCTTACGTCACATTGTAAACACCAACATACATGTCTATATATACTTGTAACACCAAGGTATTTGAATCATCGTGAATCCACCCTGTACAGTCCGACAGCGTGAAGAACCCGCGCAATCCAAGAATTGTTTTGCAACTTGGCCCATTTATGGGGGATCCCCAAGATTGTTGGTTTACAGTTTACAATGGAAAATCCCAAAAAAGAAAGGATAATGTAGGGGTATCCCCATTTCAGGAAACCTCCATATTCTCACATATTCAAACCAGGCTGCATCGGCTTCAGATTTGGCTCTTGAATTTGGATTTGCTTCAGGATTCCCAAGAAAAATCCAAATGTTCCGTCTCCCTAATAGTGGATTGATCAAGGTCCTCGTTGTAGCTCTAACTTCTTGAATCCAATGTATCTACAGAGAATCTACAGGCAAACGAGAAAGTCACGCAAAAGTCATGCCTAGGGCCCAGGGGGCTTTCCCGCATGTCAACAATCCATAACAATACCTGTGTGGAACAATCATTTTTGGAACTGGTCGATTCATTCCGAACAATTTCCCAATTCATTTTATGGATTCCATTGAGTCTTGTATCCCATGGGGCAATGCTTGATCCAATGCAGCACCAAACTGCAGGACGCTCGATACAGGGAAGGATCCTTAGCTGATGTTCCCTGAGGTGCTTCTAAATGCGTAGCAGTTTGGCATGCATCCAGATCTTGCATATTTCAGAGGGCTACCCTCTGGTAAGTCATTCTATACAGTTTAATTTCCTATGGAAAATCACATTGATTATTTTATCATAATCCTGTAGTTTAAACTACCATAGATGTCATAGATGTGGAAAATCACCATTTGTTTTAAAGATAAATGGTCTCTAAACTGGCCGTTTTCATCAATTTTCGTTACAAGTGAGATCGGGCCGTTGTTGGACTTCGATAAATTGCTCATCCCAGCAATGGACCATTGATTTTCCAAATGTAGGTATATCTAGGTATACAAAAATCCTAATTTTTCCATGTTTTTTCCCAACGAAAAACATTTTTTTGGGGGACAAACAACCCAGATTTTTTGTCAGATGCTCCAACTTCCACCGCAAAGCTACATTTTGCAAAACATTTTGCGGTCAAAACATGCCGCCGGTCCCGTCTGGAGTTGGGTTCCGCCGCAACGGTCATAAAATCTGGGAGAAATCTGGCTTACCCTCTGGTGAACGTTTACATAACTATGAACAATCACCATGTTTCATAGGGAAATCAACTATTTTCATGGCAATTTTTCCATAGCTATGTTAAATTAGCAGAGGGTAAACCCTATGAAAACATGATAAACAATGGCCCTGCTCGT